AGAAAACCTAGATTTATTTGTTAAGCTATTACAAAGACAAAACAGTTATCATTTGAAGTACTTTGAGGGCTTCATAACAGTTTCACTTGTTCTGTTACAGAAAACTAGCCTAGCGACTGGAAACCAGAGATAACCCCAGAGGTTGTAACAGAGCAGACAGGGAAGCACGGTGGAAGGAGCAAAGGCTAGTCAGAAGCATCTGTGGAAGTGTGGTACAAGTGCCTGGGAGGTTTCCAAAGAGGTCACCTAGTGATGCTGAATTAATCTGGGTCCCATTTCAGTAAAAGACTCTGTGAATGAGCAGCAGATAGGATTCCTCTGAGATCTCTCTCTTTTTAAGTGATAAAGGTATCTTTAGTCCCAAAGAGGCATATTTTAGCTTCAGCCTCTCCCACCCAGTCTACCCACACCTCCCAGCTCCTGCGCATTTCACCACATAGGCCTGCTAGCTTACAGAAGACATATACAGTGAAGGCAGAAATTACAGACCCACCCAAAGGGGAACCAGACACAGAAAATTCAGGGGTGATAGACTACAAATACCTTCCTAGTTAATTCACCTTTGTTAATAAAGGTCATAGTTTCTTCTGCTGGTGACAACTTGCTGTTTCAAGAAAGAACTGGCTCAAGTGAGTTTTGAAGAAGCAAAAACATTTTCATCAACCCCACTCCAGACAGGAAGAGGCACCAAGTCCTTTCCTACAGTTATAAAGCAGAATCTTCCAGCCGCATAAATCATTTTCAGTGATCAACATCTGCATCTTCAAACTGTCCAGCAACTGTTGGTGTAGTGTCTACCTCCATGCCATCTTCATAATCTCTTATTGAATCTTCCGTCCGAACTCCAGCCATGTTATATTGGCTGCTCACAGACTGAGAAAGCATTCCTTCTAGTCTCTCCAATGTGGCTTGGCCTTCTGCTGTTAAATGGGACAATCCTTCTTCATAGGTATAGAACGTAGGGATATCCCCCTGTCCTTGTTCATGTGCTTCCACATCATATTCTTCTCCATCATAATCATCTGAATCTTCATCCTCAGGGTCTGGATGCAAGGCCTGACATTCACACATTGCAGTGAACATTGCCTCCAATGCTGATTTATCACCAGGCACAAATCTAAATTCAGAAATAGGTTCAACATCATCATCACTGTCTTCCTCTTCATCAGCAACAAGTTCTTTTGATTCTTCTCCAAATTTGGCAT